ATCATGCTTCTGAAATATGCTTGATCAATCTTGTCAGTTCCATCTTCTTTGCTGAGCTTTTCCTTCTAGTTCATTGGTGTGTTCATTTCTTTACAATCATCGAGTTTGAAATTCTTTAGGATCTCTTTGGCATATTTCTTCTGAGAAATAAATATTTCATGTTCATCTTGTTTGATTTCCATTCCAAGAAAAAAAGTCATCAAACCGAGATATGTCATCTCAAAGACCACCATCATCTCTTGCTTGAACTTCTCCACAAGACTTGTGTTGTTTCCTGTCACGAGCAGATCATCCACATACAGTGAGATAATAAGAATGTCAGCTCCAATGTGCTTGACATACAATGTTGATTCAGATAAGCTTTTAGCAAATCCCAAGCTCAACAAATGTTCATCAATTCTGTTGTACCAAGCTCTTGGAGCTTGTTTCAAACCATAAAGAGCCTTCTTGAGAAGATAAATCTTGCCTTCTTCTCCTTCCTTCACAAAGCCCTCAGGTTACTCAACATAGATTTCTTCTTGCAAGTAACCATTTAAGAAGGCTGATTTGACATCGAGTTGATACACTCTCCAATTCTTTTGAGCAGCTACAGCAAGTAACAGCCTGATGGTGTCCAATCGAGCCACTGGTGCAAACGTATCTGAGTAGTCCATGCTAAAAATCTGAGCATACCCTTTCACTACAAGTCTTGCTTTGTGTTTGTTAATTGAGCCATCTGCATTAAGTTTGGTTCTGAACACCCATTTGACACCAATGAGTTTCCTGTCTTGTGGTCTGTCAACGAGCTTCCATGTTTGATTTCTTTCGATCATGTACAACTCTTCCTCCATTGTAGCTATCCATTTCTGATCTGTCTTGGCTTCTTCATAATATGCAGGTTCACACACATCAATGTTGCATCTTTGATAAACATCAGAAAGTGGTCTTATGCCTCTGACAGGAATGTCATCCACCATGTCATTTTGCCAGTCTCCTATGCTTTGTTCTGCCATGTCCGAAACAGGAAACTTGAGCTTTGGCTCTTTTGAGGTTGGATCCATCTTCTTTGCATCATCCCAGTTCCACTCTTCGTCTTCCATAAAGTGCACATCCCTGCTTATAACATTTTTTCCAGTTTGTGTATGAAAAATTTTATAGGCTTTTGTAACCGAGCTGTAGCCAATAAAGATGCCTGGAAGTGCTCTTTTATCTAGTTTATCTCTCTTGATCTGTGGAACATGAGTGAAGCACAAACATCCAAATATTTTAAGGAAATTCAGAGATGGTTTATAACCATACCATGCCTCAAATGGTGTTTGATCCTTTACTGCTCTTGTGAGAAGCCTGTTTTGCAAAAAAAACAGCAATGTTTGCTGCTTCGGCCCAAAACTGCTTTGGTAAGTTTTTCTCATGTAGCATACATCGTGTCATCTCCAACATGAATCTGTTCCGTCTCTCACTTAATCTATTTTGTTGCGGAGTGTATGGAGCAGTTAGTTGATGTTGGATGCCTTCCTCCTCACAAAATCGGTTGAAGGATTCAGAGTTGTACTCCTTGCCATTGTCTGATCTAAGAGTCTGAATTCTGCAGCCACTCTCATTCTCAACTCTGGCTTTAAAGTTCCAGAAGACTTGAGCCACCTTTGACTTGTGTTTTAAAAAGAAAATCCAACACATACGGGTGAAATCATCAATAAATGCAGCATAATAGAGACTACCTTTCAAGGAAGGCGTTCTTTGTGGGCCTGCAATATCCGTGTGGATTAACTGGAGCTTCTTTGATGCTCTCCATGCTATCTTGGGAAACGATTTTCTGCTTTGCTTTCCAAACTGACATGCTTTGCAGTTTGGAATGCGATCATCAAGTTCTGGAAGATCATTTATCATCATCTTGGATTTCATCTGCAACAGCCCCTGATGATGATAGTGCCCGAGCCTCTTGTGTCAAACTTCTGTGATACTTTCTTTTATTAGGAAAGCAGATTGCTCCTCCTCCAATGGATTTAGAACAAAACTTTTCCCTTTCATTTTCACTTTGAAGATATCTTGGCCAGCTACATCTTTAATCAAGCAACTTTTGTCTTCGAACACAACTTTATAACCTTTTTCAATTAGTTGTCCAACACTTAACAAGTTTTGATCAATTTCAGGGACATACAACACATCATAAATGAACTTTGTACCTGAGTAGCTCGAGATTACAACTGTTCCCTTTCCTTTCACAGTTATGTACTCGCCATTTCCAATTCGAACCTTCGACGTGTTTGTGCTTGATAATTCCCTGAAAAGATCCTTGTCGTGTGTCATGTGGTTAGTACAACCACTGTCAATGAGCCAACTCTCACTTGATTCGATGCTTGAAAAACAGGTAGCCACGAACGATTGGTCCTCCTCCTCTTGATCAGCAATCTGTGCATCTTCACGTTGTTGTTGATTTTTGTTTTTACAGATAATAGCTTTATGCCCCATCTAGTTGCATTTGGAACATTTTGCCTCAGGTATCCTCCAACATTTGAATGGAGGATGCCCTTTCTTCCCACAGTGATGACAAGGAGGGTATTTACCCTTGAAACTTCCATTTTTGTTGTCGTTGCTACTCAAAGCAGGAGAGAACGAATTTCCTTCTTGTCCCTTCTTCTTTTTCTTCTTGTTTTTGTCAGCTCCATGATGTTTTGCTGGTAAGGCACCCTCAACATCACCTTCCTGCCTCATGGCTCTTCTTTGCTCCTGTGCTTGTAGAGCATTCAACAGCTCTGCCAGAGAGATTTTTGACATATCCTTAGTGTTTTCTAAGGATGTAATTGTTGCCTCAAATTTTTCAGGCATCGTTACAAGGATTTTTTCAATAATCCTTGATTCTGGCAGGGACGAGCTGAGTAGTCTAACTCGGCTTGCAATGTTAAGCAACCTGTCAAAATACTCTTTGATGGATTCAGTCTTCTTCATCTTCTGCAACTCAAAGTCACGTACCAGGTTCAGGACTTGCATCCCCCGGATCCTTTCATCTCCTTCGTATTCGGTCTTGAGATAATCCCATATCTCCTTTGCTGACTTCAGAGACATGATATGAATGAAGATGGTGGACGCGACTGCAGCAAACAAGCATGCCTTTGCCTTTGATTTCTTCGTCTTCTTCTCCTTCTGCGCTTTGATCTGTGCCATGGTGGGATTGTTTGGTAGTGCAAGGATTTCATAGTCTTCTTCCACTATTTCCCAAAGATCCAAAGCATCCAAGTATGTCTCCATGCGTACTGCCCAAATCTGGTAGTTGTCTCCGCCGAACACTGGCAGAGCAATGGATGAGAAACTGGCTTCGGCTTCCATGACGCGTCAAACTCACACACAGATCCCTTAAGAAGAGTGCTCTGATACCAATTGTAGTTGTTTTAGAAAAGAAAAGAAACAAAACAAAGCTTTCCTGTGTTTAAGAAATATTACTGCAGTGTAAAAACTAATTGAGAGCAACGTATTTTGAAACAAAAACTGAATAATTCATTAACTTCAGAAACATTACAATTTATAACTTGATGAACAACAGCCCACTAACATCATGGTCCTTAACTTGTGCCATGATAACAAACATGCATAACTGAAAATCAGCAACTTCCGAAAAGCTAAGTACGACTACTTTGAATGATTCAAAATAAATAAAAATCTTCAGTAACGTGGCAACACATCTAACCACTTCTGCAACGTGGCAGCCATCCTAAACACTTGTCTAACATATACAAATAATATTGTAGATGAATAAGGAGAGGAAATTCTTGAAATTAGTCAAGGCATTAGATTATTTTCTTGCAAGGAATTTTAACAAAATCTCAGTTTTCTTCAAAACGAGATCGCAAACGATAAATATAGAAGACCGGTTTATGTATGAGTAGCACGTACTGACTTCTTTTATCCATTTATTTGTCTAATATTAAAAAGATGAATAAAACTGCCTATTTTATCTATTTCTAAACAAAGGTCATAGCTTTAAGATCAAAAGGTTTAAACTCCTTAATCTGCATGAATACAGAGAATGATGGCAATCTTGGCAATAACTAGGCCAGAAAAACTACTTAGATCTTGATATTATAAAGATAATTTCGTTACATATGTTATTAGAAAAAAATTAAAAAACAACAATACTGCGTATTACGGCCTTTCTTTGTTGGTGCTCTAAGGTGATTGCGCAATATATAGCCAGCGGGCGCCATTGGTACCACCGCCCACTACTCAAGGTGACGGGATAACAATTGGTGAAGCCCTCGAAGCCACGGCCATTATGGCCGGTCAGAAGCCAGTAGAGAGGAGCAACGCCGCCGCGATACAGGCGGCTGAAGTAAGAGCAACAGGTCGTATCAACATTGTCCCCGGTGGTGTTGGCGCTGCAGCACAGTCGGCCGCCACTCATAATGCTCAAACAACCAGAAAGGAGGACAAGACAAAAACTCCGAGATGTTCTTGCAGTACGATAATAATACTTTTATTACGATAGAAAATCTGAAACACTCTTTGGTGGTCTTTATGATTATGTTAATACTGATCTCATAGACATTCTTTGGTCTTGTAGGATGATACTTCAAAATTACCCGCAGAGACAGACCAGCGACACGCAGAGATGCTGAGGGAGTGATTGGCGCTGAAATGAGGAATGATAAGTTCCTGACTACACATCCCACAGGAGTCGCAGCTTCGGTGGCTGTAGCTGCTAGGCTCAACGAGAAGGGTGAACCAACACCCTATAATAACTAGATTTTTTACTACTGTAAAACTGGCTAGATTCTAGTTTATTTTTAAAATAAAGAGGGTCGTGAAATGAAAGAGAACAACTAATGTGTGGTTTCACAGCATTTGCAGTTTGTTATTGTAGTTTTCCTTCTATCGACGAATAAATTTTAAGTCGCGTTTCAGTGTATCAATAATGTTTTTATCTATGAATTTCTCAGCAGTCCTCTCATCTCTGTTTTGTGTCCAAAATTTTCAATACTGCTATGAATATATAAGATGAGAAAAGAACCAGAATTGCGAAATCGGGAAAGAAATGTGACATGCATTAACAATAGATAATGTATTTTAAATCAATAGAATAAGATACAAGATTTGCACCCCAAAAAAAAAAAATTCAAATGACGCAACAAAAGATTATTAACCTGAGGTGTCTGTATAAAATACAACAAAACTGACGGGTATTCCTATAAAATGTACAAACTATATGCCGTCCTTGTAAACTGGAGGATGAGGAAAATTCCACCAGCACTCTTCTACAATAAAACATCCATGGGAACAATTTAAGGTCGGCTGCCATCGAAAAGTGTGAAGTAAATCTCAAATAGGTTGACTGGTTAATGAAGTTTCGAGAGCTAATTCTTTGGTAACGAGTTTAAGCAGCACTTGTACGGATTCTCTTACTCTTGCTTCTCTGTTCATCAAAATAGGTCATAATTGAGATCATCAATAAACAACGACTGATACTCCCATCATGGTTCATAATGTTATTTGCCAACTTGATTATTTCGCCTCTATCTCTCATCACAACCAAACATACCAAAATATTACTAAAAAGATTCAAAAAAGGACAAATTTAGGCCATGTTTGGAATTGATACCATTTTTGTTTTTCACGTTTTTCGAGAACGAAAAAATGAAAACGTTTTCAAAACGGCGTTTGGCGTAATAAAGATAAAAAACAGAAATGAAAACGATTTTTTTGTTTAGTGTAAAATGAGAGAGAAATGAAAAACGATTTTTAGTCGTTTTTTATTTTTTGTTTTCGTTTTCTCCTCTCTCGAGTAGAGAGAGAGAAAGAGAGACATTAACGAGTTTTTTTACACTGAAAACAATCTCTTGATAAAACTACCAAACGCATTTTTAAAAATGATTTCTGTCTGAGATTGAAAACGTTTTCGTTTTCATTTTCATACAAAAAAAAATCATTGTGGAACGAGTTTCAAACGCGCCCTTAATGTCTCAAAAAAGGAAAGTCATGGTACTTGGTTTTTTATTTTATTTTTTTATTATTTTTTTTAATATTATTTTTTTTAAGAACACCAAGAAACATTATGACATTTTCCCGAAATTAAAAACATATTAAAGTACAAGGTATAACGTATATATTTTTCAAAAAAAAAAATTATATTTTCCCTTAATCCAAAGTAAGGACTAACCATTTTGCTAGAAAACTTATCACTTACCTTGAAACAACGAGCTCGCAAAAGGATGAAAACAGAACAAGCAGGTGTGGACGCCTATTGTTCTTTTCCTCAGCCAGGCCAGTTTTCAAATGTGGATGCAAGGGAAGAACAGAAACGGTGTCTGAATGAATTATCATACTGGCTAGTGCCTGTAGGACGTACATAATTTCCTCTAGCCTTGCTGTTGGTAGTGGCCGCTCACCTGCAGGCAAAGGCAGATGGAACTCAGAAAGCACGTAAAAGTTTGTTCACTGTCATGAAGAGCTTTACTTATTTATTTATTTTGTTAGTCATGATAATCTTTATTTAGTTGAAAATAATACACACCTAGGTCATTCTCATCAATTAGGAATCTCTTCAAAATGTATTCACATCTGGTCATGAGGACCATAATCGAGATTTTGCTGACTTCAGATCTTTCCAAACTCCAATTGTCAGTTTTCTCCTCGTAACTGTACATGCAAGTATTATTTAACTTTTATCCAACCCAAAAAAAATAAGAGCCATAAAAAAGTAGAAGAGTGAAATGAAACACGAAAATACTAGGCACCAATTAACAGATGGAGAATAGAGACGAAAAAGATTCTTACAAGAGAGAAAATACGATTTACAACTATCGGGATATTGAAAATAAGTAAGCTCAGGATGCCTATGTGATATGTTACCTGCTCAGAGAAAATAACTTCTGCAAGCATCTCAAGGAGAATCTGCTACAGTGTAAAGGCATAAGTTCCACTGTCTCAACAGGTAAAGAACAGGTACGTGATGCACAACGGTCCAAGGTGGAAACTAGTATTTGCAAAATCTGTGAATATCAATGACGAATAATTAAAAGACGTTCATTGGAATTTTGGGAAATGGAACTAGTGAAGCGAGATAGAACTGAGATAATTTGAATGAAAGTGCTGTAACACACCACGGAAAGAAAAAGAAAGGATTATCCGAGATCATTCATTCATCTCAACCTTGTTTAAGGCCTTGTAATTAGCAAAACTTACTTGGAATATTAGCATGCAACATTAAATGTTTTCAAGAGCCTTATAAACATATTTTTGTACTATACATGGGTTGATCAGGAAGAACATTACATCATAAGGTGCATCAACTGGCGACTTGAGAATCTTGTCACCAAGGATGTCCAAAGTGGTCATCTCAAGGGACTCATCAGCCTTTCCTACAACAGTAGAGAGAGAATCAGAAGGAAGAGGTCGCCCACAGTAACCTACAAGGAATATCTCATACAAGTCGGCAACTTCCTTCCATATACGTGATCTTGCAGTCTTAGTAGTATTAGAATCAAATCCACCATCCACAGCCAATCTGCAGACATCGTCGACAAGAATACGATTGAAGCCTTCAACAGCTAATCTCCAAAGTGCACCATCAGGATAATCTCTTCTAGTAGTCATAGACCTGAGAAATAATAAGAAACCTAGTACAATGATAAGGATGTGGCTCCAAACTTTCAAGTATGTCGAGCTTTGGTCCTATTAATTTGAAAATGGCATGCCACCAATGCATATTATGATGGATTCATATTGAAATATTTTCCATCTGAATTTGTAGGTCAAGAAACAAATAACACAATGGATTATCTGCCTAGACTACAAGCTTTTGAAAATTGGCAGTTTCAGTAGAACAGATTTAGCATCAGGCAGTCTAGTAATCTTTACCTTCCTAGACTTTGAATAATTTCAGGATATATGATATACTTCCCAATTGATGGTGCCTTCAAAAAAAGATCAACCAGCACAGGAACAAGCTTTTCGGCAAACAAATAACTGGGGAGGGCTGCTGTAGCAACTGTACTTGATCGTGAACTTGGAGATTTAGCCTCTTTCTTTTTCAGGGGTATGGAAGAAGTCCCATTAGATCTTTCATAGGGCCCCAAGTTAGCATCTGCAGAAACTATTTCTTCATTTCTGATTTTGTTACTTTTATGAACCACAGACAAAAATAGATTGCAACTAAGCTAATACCTATTAACATACCTGGATTTTGGTCGACAGTGCTGGTTGGCCCTGCCTCATCTCCCTCCTCTAGTAAGGAGGAGTCCAATTTTGGTAGATATTGCAGAATATCCCGAAAAAGAATTAGCCACATTGAAGACAGATGCTCAGTTGGAACTAGCAGAGGCATTATCTCCAGTACCGTACGTAATACAGGTGGCATATGCCCCTGGTAAAAAAGCAAATATAAATTTCATTGGAATTGAAAGTCATGAGTCATGACTAACAACAGACAAATCAAAAGTGTTACTGTAGTTATCCCTGTTCCTTTTCGATTTTGGTTATACAAGTTTCTCCAGTTTAAGAAATAACATTGAATTGATCAAGCAGTAGTCGGTCTCGCTGCCATATAACTGGAGGACTACAGAAAAAGGGGCAATGCAAAGGGGTTGAGGGCAAAAGTTCACTTACAAACTCGGTTTCGAAGTTATCATTGTTTATAACGGTTTGCTTGACAGCCAGATCTATGACCCCAAGCAATTGCGTATATAAATGATCGTCAAACATCCTTCGAGCTTGAACATATAGTTCCCCTGTAAATTTGAAAAGGTTAACAAAACTTAAGCATGAACAGAATATTTTTCTGATGGAAAGATATGTTACTGCATCAACCACAAGTCTTATTGATCCAAAAAAAAAAGTTGCAATTTCTTGCTTAATCATATCATAGATTGAAGGATATAACACTAATTATAGGTATTAAAACAAGGTTTTACTAGGGATTTCATTTCAGACATGTCTTTGTTCATCATAAATAAACATACACAAAATGTGGTGAGGCGCTCCTGCCTAATTAATACATTACCAAGACCGTGTAAAATCTCCTGCTTCACCTTGTTGCTAGCTGCATTGCCACCATAGTTTGTTGACTTCTGAAGAGCATGCTTGTAAACGTTAAGTACTGATGTAAGGCATGCCAGTGGTAAGTTTCCCTGATTGACAAAATAACTTCAGTGATTTCTTTCATAGACATTTAAGCTTCAAATTAAACATCGAGGATTACTCTTAATCTGTTCCACAAAATTCGAAAATTACCTTGGAAGCATGAGAAACGACAGTTATTTGCAAACAGTTTATTGCCGCAAGAGCAACCTCTTTACTACCTTTTAGAATGCTATTTTCCACAAATAGAAGCAAAGATTCCCACCCTGAATAAATTAATACCATGTGTTATTGTTGAAACAGCTAATTGAAAAGTGAAGAACATGAGAAAGCAGTTGCATCAAAAGCCAATAAATTGGCCTACCTGATTTGAAACTGCTTAAGCTTCTGAGGAAAGGAAAGAAAGAGCGTAGAATACGAGCTATTCCACCAAGTATAAGTACAAGTGTTTCATCCCACTGTTTTTGAGCTGTGTTACGACTGAAAATGCATTTTACATGAGGTATTGGATAATAAGAGAAGAAAAGAAAAGAAACTTTATTGGATCCCAAAAGGAGAGAAGAGAGAAATAAGGACCAGTGACCTCAACCATTACCTATGATGAATGAGCATGTGGACTGCTTTCCCTCCACGAGTTCCAAGTTCTTTCCCTTGCCATTCATCTTTTGATGAGGCTGCGGCCTAAATTGAAAACATTAAGATCACCGTAGTAGATAAAAGAAACAGATCTGGATTGATATTTCACAACAACTTCTAACTAACCATGTGAGAAGCGCGGTCCAAAGTAGGGAAAACATATGTCCGAAGGCAATCCTCCCACATACTTTCAGAAAGTTTCTGTCCATGACTACCAAGAGTCTGAAAAAGCGTTCTCACTGCTGAATTCCTAACCTGAGTAACCAATTAGTTTCTTCAGAATTGCTAACAAATTCAGTGATTCACTAAAACCATACAAAGGCTATATAAGATGACATCATTAGCTAACAGAGTTTCTTTATCTCCTACCAAAGAGAGAATATAAAAAATACACTCCAAAGAAAATTCATTATGATGTGTTGTTCTTATTATTGTTATCGCCATTTCTGTTGTTTTGTTATCATTGTTGTTATTACTGTAAGTATTATTATTCTTGTTATTTGCTTGAAACATCATTTGAAAACCAGGCCAATAAACACATTTTGAGTTGAATGTCGAAGAAAATTCATTATGATGTGTTGTTCTTATTATTGTTATCGCCATTTCTGTTGTTTTGTTATCATTGTTGTTATTACTGTAATTATTATTATTCTTGTTATTTGCTTGAAACATCATTTGAAAACCAGGCCAATAAACACATTTTGAGTTGAATGTCAAGAAATGCTTAAGTGCTCAAATTATGAAACATCTCATGTATAACTTTGCACAAGTCGTGTTAACTTTCCTGAACAGCTATTAGACCATATGGGATTTATAAATTTAAAAAATCATGGTGTATCATTAGTTATACCTTTTAAGTTACAAATCAGCACTTTTTAAAGTTGAAAGCAAAACAAGAAAAGGCACCAGGAGACGATATCATGGACTACAGATGTAGACATTCAAAATCCAGTCATCAATTAATGTAAAACCATTGATTTGCTCGAGAGAATCAATGAGAAAAGGCATTTGGATGCCGCCAATTGAACGTATCTACTACAAGACATATCACATCCCACCTCTGGCCTTTCATCAGCTCCAAGGTTTTGAAGTAACGAGAAAACAGCGAAAAGCAACTTGTCACAATGAACTGTATCTATCGAGGAAGCTTGGTCCACAACACTGGGTGTTTGTTCTTCTGGCTTTTGACCATCTATTTGCTTTGGAATGGAATGCCCGTCTACAATATAAAAATAAGATAATAAAAAAAAGCAGATTAAATTCTTTGATCACTAGTTTAGAGAGAGAAGAACTATTAATGGGCTAATAGATCTACAATGGTAAACTAACCTGTTTCCTTTTCCTCTGCAGATCCATGAATAATCCCCTTTGCAATAAAGTCAGTTGTAGTCCACAAAAGGCCTATTGCCGTCAGGCTTATGTTAAGCTCTGTCTTCTGAGCGCTGTAAGCTCCAGTCACATCAACACATCTGTAATATTCAGATTTAAACTCTGGATTACCTCACATTATTTAAAGTGGCAACCATAGCTGCCCATATAGCACTAATGAGATTATTCAACAATTTCTTCAGTACTCTAGTAGGTAAATACACATAAAATATATGTCATTGTCAGCATGTATAACTACACATATGTGCAAAAGCATCAACCAAGCTTTAAAAGAAATATTCACGTCACTGAACATTGGATCATAAGGCTAAAAACAATTTCCAACATTGAATAAGTACTCCATGCAGAATAATAAATTGCAGGTACCATGGAACTCCCACGACTTCAATACAGTGTATGTGTAGAGGGGAAAAAAAAAAAAAGGGAGAGAGAGAAGCCAAGTTTGCGAGCTTACACTTGTAGACAGTCTGCAGGTATATTGGAAAGCCCATCATTCATGATCACACGTAGGCTCTACAAGAAAGACTAAACTTAACCACTGAATGGAATAGGAATTGAAAAAAAAAAAAAAAAAAAATCATAAGCAGAAGTCTAACAGCTCTTTCTTACCTGGAAACCTAAAGTGACAAGTTCCTTCTCTGAAGCATCTGCTACAGACCTTAGAAAGGAATAAAAGTGGAGCGGATCAATGAGCTAAATTCAAAGGGAGGGCGAGGGGGAAGGAAGCATGAAACAAAGATAAAGGCAAACCTTAACATTTCAAGAATGTTTGACCAACTGTACTGTAACTTCTCTCCATGCCTCTAAAACATATGTAGCTTCTTTTTGGTAAGAAATATTACAAACATAGGCTTAAAAAAAGAAAAAAACAAAAAACAAAAAACAAAAACAAAAAACAAAAAAAAAAACAAATTAACTGAAATAGTGTTCAGTAATTTACACGTTACCTCTAAAACATGCAGAAGAATCTTTAAAGATCCAGCACGCACTTCCACACTCTGACTAGAGAAATAAAGAACCCTCAGCGGAGATATGGCAGCACATTCAAGTGACGTTATTTCTGTAAGCATAGTTTCCATCTAGAGAGGGAGAACGTGTGTCAATGATAACTCTTGTTAATTAATTCTTATTGAAGCAACAAATATTACAAAGGAAAGAGTTCTCACTGTCTGTGATGTCCCTTTGGGTCTAGTTGATAAAGATTCCTGCAAGTGATCTGACCCTAAAACAGCACATATGGATTTATCTAATGCATCAAGTGCCATATTTCGTAAATGCTGGTTAGGTTTGTCCGCAAGCTGTAAACCATTTTAGGATGTCAAGACTCAAGAAGAATGTATACGGAGCTAGAAAGTAAAGGTATAAGAAAAATTACAAGGAGATACCTCGAGAAAGTGGCCTACAACTAGATCCCATAGTGGCTCCACTCCTGTTGCACGGTAAACAAATCGATAATTGGACCAATCATAAAAAAGAAACATGACGAATTATGCATCAATATAACCTGCATAGGCTTCATGGTAGTACCATCTTTTAAGTGACTATAGGGAATCTATAATCCACGTACAACTAATACTTAACACAATCAATGATCATGCACACACGCACACACACACAACAATTCACAAAAAAAAAAAAGGAAAAGAAAAAGGAACCATAACTGACAAACATTACATACTATGAAGATTATTAACAAGGATTGATATCATTCTTTCCACTGAAAAAGTGATGCTTCCAAGTTTTTGACTCGATGTTGGTCCAGAAACAATTGAAGTTGCAGATACACATTGCTCAGACAGCTGACGTAATGCAGAAAGAAGGGACTTCACAGCAGATATATGCATCAGTGCTGAGCTTTCAAACAGCTTCCAAACAGAGAAAAGCATAGGTCAGAACATGTAGGTTATCATATTACTAGATACTATTCATGTATGCAAGTGCACACATGCATATAAATTTCTAGGGCTAAAGGAACAAAATGACAAATGGCCCACGTTTTTACCAAGTGCCAATCGATTTTCTTGTTTAAATGAACGCAAGAGATGGGGAATGGCTCATAGGATTTTTTTTTTTTTCCACGGAAGAAACAAGAACTAGAGAAGGGCACATAGTTTTAGTTTACTGTTTTAAAAAGTTCCTGATAAGGTATTTTTATGAGAAAATGCGTTGTATTTTTCCTTCTTTCCAGAAGGAAAGAACATGGGCACATCCAATAAGGAAAAAATATATATTTCTAGAGGATCTTGAGAGATATTAACAGTTTTATTGTATTCAGCTTGACAGACAGGTAGCTGCATGGGTTACCTGAGAATTCAACGAAGAAAGAATACTAAAATCACTGTATTGACCGGATGATTCCCTCATAAGCTTTTTGGCACCTGGTGAGACCTCCTGTGAAGATAAAACTAATAAAATTACAATCGTAGGAAAATGTTATGAAAATCCCAGAAACAATAATATTTTTAGTGACCAATTACTAATCAAAAGTCAAATTTTCCCACCCTTATTTTTTTCTTCTTTTTTCTTCTTTTCCTTTTTTTGGTAATTTCTAGAGTTCAAGTTTTGATATAATTTCTGGGATTGTTGTAATTGTGAAAGAAGTTCTACCTTAAAATAAAATGAGAAGTATAAGCAAAAAGTAAAAGTTAAAAATCATAACTTTTCCAAATAACCTTACCAAGCACACTACTTGCATCATGTTATGTGCAAAAGACTTTTGAGGCCTACAAAAGATAACAAACTGGCCCTAACACTGCTGAACCTCTTCCCTAGTAATATGATTTCCCTGATAATATTATTACTCGTATAGCTACAACTCATGTTATAACAAACATTACCTGTGTGGTGGCATGTGGTGAATGGATTGCTCGGTCTAGAGCTGCTAGGGTTTCCAAGACCTGCCGTTATTCACTGAATGAGTTGACATGAACAGCACTTGAGGAACAAATACAGAGTCAAACGACATACCAAAACCCACGATGGGCCCAACACATTATGCAAGCGATGAGCAATGTTGAAGAGAGTTCTTAAAGCCTGAGGAGCAAAAACAAAGAGTTGGAAATACAGATAGTCAAACGACCAGATACTAATAACAAAAGAATTCCGTGATGATACTGAAGCAGAAAAAGGAAGATTCCAGTTAAACGTAGAATAGAATGTACAGCGATAATAAAGCAAAACGAAATACCTGCACATTTTTGGGGGTCAGGACAACGCTGTCCCATTGATCAACTGAGGATTCAGAACGTTTAGATCCAGGAGACTGTAAGGCACTGCTGAAATCTCAATTTAAACCAACTCCAGTGATGTCAGGTCGCGAAAAATACTAAATTTAGGGAAGAACAAAAGAAAAGGACAAACTTGCACAGACAACTCTCAACAACGAAGATAGCAAGATACAAGCCCGAGAAGTTCAAGGATATACTCTGTACCTCTTCTTCTCTGCTTCAATGGGAAAATTTATTGTAAACTTGCAAAGGGATGCTAAAAAAGAGTTAAGAGGTTCTACAGCATGAAGAACACCACATGCCTGTGGAATCATCATTTGAATTACAGGTTAGAAATAGAATGATGAAGTAATTTAAGAAAGAAAAGAGAATGCTTCATTGCCAGATGCCAATAATAAATAGGCCAGAATCCATGACATGAAAGACTCTTTACTTTTGTGAGGTAAAATGAGATAGAGTGTCGCTGAAATTGTGGCTGACCTATGCTGAGTCAACATGTCAGAATGATGATTACCTGTGTGAATGCCTGATATCCCTTTAGTATTTCCAACACAATAGCTTCTCCTTGTGACCTATGAGAGTGACTAGAAGATATCAAAGACCAACCACTACTGGGCTACTGGTAAAATATTATATGCATTAGTATAGAATTCATCCAACCTTGACAAAATAAGGGATAGTGCATCTAGAATGGTCAACCATAATGAATCAACCATGGCAAGGCAAAGCAGTGCAGTTTTCCCAGAGCAATTATTAGGCAGATCATAATCACACCTAGGAGATTCAAGCTGGTACATAAGACAGATTCAATCAGCGCTCAGATGAACTGCTACCCTATTACTATAGAAGAAAAATATATGACGAGATTAAAATAAAAATAATAAATAAAAAACTACCTCACCAACATCCACTGCTTCATCTGTCAATGCAGCAACTGTAAAGACAACGCCCAACAAACCCTCAACAGCCAGAGTTATAGCATGAGCTTCACTAGCAACTAAGACAGCAGTATTGGATGCGTCATTATCAAGGCTCCATTCGATTCCTGCAGAGAGGCATGTAAACATCTTAATGATAATTCCTTGCACATGATTCTAAAGAGGCAATATGAAACGTAGGAGCACATCCCAAAATATTCCATGAAGAAAAGCTCTAACATCCGCAAGTAGGAGAATAAGTTCCATCCACATTAGATCGATAAAATATTGAAAAAGATATTAAGTTCTCATAACCATTATCTTCAAATCCGGAGGATCGGGATTTCAAGAAAAACATAAAACCCTTTTTAAGGAACCACTTATCTTGAGAGGAAAACATAATACATCTGATATATTCTGCATCAGCCAAAGAAGGATTACCTTTGGCTTTGCTGCTAAACATCCCTGCAACAGCTGTCAGACTCTCCTCACTAGTCTCTTGAACCTGCAGTGTTAAAATTTCTTTTAGAAAAAAAAAAAATTACCAATTTCTCATAGGAAATAATGAGAAAAAATAGAATCTACACATTTACTATCTGAATAAATTATACACACTAATTACTCGTGAGAAATTGTACAAGGAGGATAACGATTGAAGGGATAGAATGGATTGCCATATTGAAGGATACAACAATTGGTTGGAGAGCGTTTGAAATTGAAGAGGTAAGATAGGCAGTTTTAAGCTGCAATAGAAATAAGTCGCCCGACCCAAGGGTCCACTTCGGGATTTTTTTCAGAATTACTCTTTTAGCAACAGTTTTGGCAATATTTTTAAAATATCCCAGAAAAATATTTTCATTGGGCTAGAACTTAATGTTGATTTCTTAGTGGATTCTACTCCATGATTTTGTGTGGCTTTAAAGCTCTCTTTTTTTTTTCTTTTTCCTTTTTTGATAAGAAACGAGTTTTTACAAATGAAGCTTCCAAACGGACAAGGGGTCCATTAAAAGAGAAAACAAACAGCATGCCACTCCTTTTATGTAAATTTTATTATGTGATTAAGATCATCGTTTCACATTGAATTTAAACACAACCAGACATACATACACGTTAACAAATCTCACCTGCACACTTGAAACAACTCTAGCAAGAGCTTTAACAATGCCCTCAACAACATTGGTATTCTTCAGATGCCTACGAAGCAGACAAAAACCGGTAAATTATGCATCATTATAGTTCTTATAAAACCTGACTTCTTTTAATGAGGAAAATAAAAGGATAACTCCATGAACCACAGTTGAATAACCATCTCTCGTGTAGAATTCAAACATTTTGTTTAACCAAGGGGGAAAAACAAAGTAAACCTGACAATGATTAGAATCCTAATATCAACCACACAATGAATGCTATTATTTGAACCTCCAAGGTATAACTGGAACTTGATCCCTCATCACAATTTAATTTGATTAAGAAACCAGAAAAGTCATGGACCTCTTAAATGAAGAGTGAAAGTAAAAGTTCCCCAAAATAGAGTGAAAATAAAAGATATTAAAAACATGCAAATCCACAAACCCATCCATGGATGACACTCGCCAACCATTAGCAGAAAGTGGAAACAGTTCACCAATGATAAACTCAACAATACAGATATTTCTCGATACGCAAATTTTTCCAGATTCATTTTGAAGTATTGGAAGTAACATGCTTGTAGATGTACATTTCCCAAATGGATAAAAGGAAAAATGATCATAGACTGCTAAGCCATTCAGCAAAAGTAAAAATATAATAATAATAATAATAATAATAATAATAATAATAAATAAAAATACAAAATAGAAAATAGAAAACGCCAACCAATATCAGTGAGCTTACATATCAAAGTTCTGGAAGAGAATTCGCAAAGTCCTCGGCTCCAAACAAAAACCCTGTCAAATTCCACCCTCTCTGCTTATCAAAAGGGGCTTACAATGGCACTCAATGTTTTACATATAGTACATAAGTAAAGAGTATGATGCACTTCCAACGTTACCCGCAGGACTTCAAGAACAAGAATGCGATGCCATAATGGAAGATCAAGAAAAGTAACCTTCAACAGCATACTGAGGAAAACCTGCACTGGGAAAAAAATATATATAAAATATCCAAGAACACAAATTGTTTTGGCATATTTGGAGGTCGACCCCCCATATCATAAGGATGAATTGAATAAACATTTTTAGTGGAAATTAAATGCATAAAAGTATTTTTCTCATTAAATGATTGGTTCAATTATTACTCTCACTGCTTTTTGTCATAACCTCGTAAGAGAGTAGACGAAGAGCTTATATTATATGGGAGCAGAAATTATAAAAAAGGGCTGCGTTAAAATAATCATATCTAAAACACACCTCACATTCAGTGATAAGGGATGAACTGTAAAGCCTGATAATATGAGCAACTGACCGCAAAATAAAAATACAAAATAGAAAATAGAAAACGCCAACCAATATCAGTGAGCTTACATATCAAAGTTCTGGAAGAGAATTCGCAAAGTCCTCGGCTCCAAACAAAAACCCTGTCAAATTCCACCCTCTCTGCTTATCAAAAGGGGCTTACAATGGCACTCAATGTTTTACATATAGTACATAAGTAAAGAGTATGATGCACTTCCAACGTTACCCGCAGGACTTCAAGAACAAGAATGCGATGCCATAATGGAAGATCAAGAAAAGTAACCTTCAACAGCATACTGAGGAAAACCTGCACTGGGAAAAAAATATATATAAAATATCCAAGAACACAAATTGTTTTGGCATATTTGGAGGTCGACCCCCCATATCATAAGGATGAATTGAATAAACATTTTTAGTGGAAATTAAATGCATAAAAGTATTTTTCTCATTAAATGATTGGTTCAATTATTACTCTCACTGCTTTTTGTCATAACCTCGTAAGAGAGTAGACGAAGAGCTTATATTATATGGGAGCAGAAATTATAAAAAAGGGCTGCGTTAAAATAATCATATCTAAAACACACCTCACATTCAGTGATAAGGGATGAACTGTAAAGCCTGATAATATGAGCAACTGACCGCAAAACCAAGCGGCGAAAAGAAGGCTCTCCTGCTTCTCCCTCCGGCTGATTGAACTTGGGAAAGGAAAAAGAAATGTAGTATGAAACGTGACCTTAAAAAAGGGCCTCCCATGGGCCCAATGATTCATTGCAAATACACATTTCAGAATAAAATTACCTCAGCATCAGTACGGAGGGAAGTCATTAAAAGCGAACATATCTGGTGACGCAGAACCTGTTGAATTTAGTGTAATCTTTTCACTGTTAGCGTTAGGATTTCACAAGCTAGCTCAAAGCACTTTGTTTTTTTAAAGAAGCATAATTTTACAACAGAAGAGAGAGAGAGAGAGAGAGAGAGAGGCAAAAGTATAATAATGAAGGACGAAAAAGAAGGAAAACTATAAATATGCCTACAAAACATTCTGCCAGCTCAATGAACCTAACGTTGAACACCACCACTAAGAAATAGCACCGTAGCACATTCAATATGGATCAGAAAAGAGAATTTCCCAACAAAATCAATTACTGATGTCAATGTAATATCTCAAATGATGAGGAAGCTACCAAGGCAACAAAGAAGGTACGAACACCAAATAAAATAAACTTATATGCAATATGTTTTGATCACCTGCTTATAGGGAAGAAGAGTTATGAAAACAGCAACATAACTGGATAAGATAAACCTGCAAGATAAGTATGAACTGAGAATTAAAGCAAAACCATAAAGACCAGTTGACTACAGATGAGCAACAGAAATTTCTTAACTAAATCGATGGTTTCACTAATGTATATACAGGGATAATAACTTCTTACTCAAGTATATCAAGTACAAAGGAGCGTGGAAGAGAATTGACTCGTAGCCAAATTGCCTATAAGAGAAAGGTGAAAGTATCAGTTTTCTGTTAAAAAAAAAAGGGTTCATATAATGTAACAGTGACTGATAACTGCAGCTTTTATATCGTAAATGCAACAGTGAAAAAAGTGGAAGAATTTAGAAAGAACCAAGAGATTACAAATCACGTTCAGAACATCTAGTTAACATCACATTCATAAACAGACAGTACATACTGAACCAGATGCAGCAAGAGCTGTTAGGTCTTCAAGCAGACGAAGCCCAAGCTTTCCAGCTCTAGTCAGGGTTTCTCTCACCAATTCTGACCCTCTAGAAACTGATTCATGCTCCAATGACCTGTTCATATGTAAAGCCATTATATGGACATGGAAGATACTAGATGATATAAGCAAAGATGTGCACCTAGTACACAGGTCTTCTCTAATCAGATGAACAAAGAGGATACAAATGCATATGAAATTCAAATCTAGCATGTGTACATACTAATACCTCAAACCAAAATCATATAGCGATAAATAGATGCAGAAAAAACAACTAAGCAGTGGTGTTCATGCAAATTACATACTCTGAAAGATTGATGCTGCGACTAACATCACCAGTAACTGAACTAGCTCGAGAGATGTAACCTCCAGAACCAAATTTGCCAGAAGGAAGAGACTCAGCACGAACTACATGATCGAAAATCAGGGCTACTGCTTGCCTGAAGGTAGCTGCAGCAGTACTGGAAAACTTACAGATTAAATAAGTTTCCATAAGAAAAAGACAGGTAGCATCTATTAAATTACATATTAGCTTAAGAATGAAGCTTTTTTTTCTAATAATGGGTTACACAATGGGAGGTAACCCTCCCCACCCTCATGAAGGGACTTTAACAACTCAACTAGCTGGAACCTTCAACTGACTAGAATGAAGCATTGATGAAAAACATCTACATATATAAGAATATGTGAATATGGAAGCATTGTCAAAGACAAGTTAAGTTGGGGAAGAATGACCACACACTAGGAAAACATGACTTACCTCCGCACACTGTCAGAAGATCGATTGTTTTCAAGAAGCCGAAGACAGATGTCAAGAGCTTGAGCCATATTATCCTATTAACAAAAGAAATGTTAAGGCACAAAGTTCCTTAAATACTCATCGTTTGAAAATATATACATGTATAAAAAAAATTTTGCAATTCTAACTTTTGTGAACTTTTGCCTTAAGTTTGACATCCTGGATTCAAACTTGAATATGTGTTAAATAGATAAAAATTGAGTACACAGATATGTTTCACGATATTTATTAAGCTTGGTTTCTGCCTTCTTGATTGTGACATTCTTTTCCTTGTTCCAGTGGACTCCAACTATACTTTTAAGGCATACCCAGCTATAGTTACACCACAGACTAGAGCCACATCTCAAAGAGCAGCAAACAAATTAAGTGCCAAATTATTACCTCATCTTCAGGGTGTAAACGTGACTGCAGTATAGTTAACACAGTCTGTAGTGTCTTGAGCTGAACAATCTCATCTGCCATTTCAGCATGCTGCGGGAAGCACAAGAAGATGTGCATATTAGGTAACTGGAGTAGCACAATGAAAAAGTTGTCGCTTCACCCAGGAGAACCATTGTCTTCCTAGGTGATCGGCTCAAGATTCATTTTATTCACGGTAACTGATAGAATTTGTTATGTTTTCTATTCTTATAAACCACTAGAACATAAGTCTTCACTCATTTCAATTCTAATTACTTATTAGTCCCAAAGATCTAGTTAAAAAATGCCCAACCTTCAGCTTAAGCTAGGTTCTTCCCTTACTACTAGTGATGAGACTAAGCAAAAGGATGCTCTCTTATGTAATGCGTGTCAAGTTTGAGATAAACTCTCTAGCTTTTGAGCTGTGGTAATGATTACCGTTCCATCGACGTGATGAAGCTTCATAATGCAGATTTCTTGTCATAAAAATTTAAGCCTATGGTAAATCAAATTAAAAGTAACAAGTATCATCATGCATGCCAACCACAAACTAAAGCTTACATCTTTTAGTGTTGATAGTATCTCTTTTAAGGCAGATAGAGCAACTGCATCATGAGCTATTAGCTTCTGTAAACACGAGAGTCCAATAACGCTCAGCTTGACAATTTTGACCTCACAAGCCGCCAAAAAGATTCGCAGTATGTCCTCATTTTGCGCAATCTCACTGGGACTTGACAGTGAACGAAGCTGCAAATTATCATCGAGAAACACATGAATCCCAAGCTACCACACAAACTCAATAGCATAAGTTAATAAAACTGAAACCATCCACAAGCCTCAAAAGAACGAGCATAAAATTGCACCACCTAAACTAACCAGATAATAATAACTAATAAGTGCTGTGTTCTAACTGTTCAAAAGAAAATGATGCTTGACAGAGTTCTTCTTGAGAAAGAAAATGAAATTGGCACTTTTCCAGCACAGAAGCGCGCAATCTCTTATGCATCAAACAATATCTCAAATTTTTCACTCTTTTTTTTTTTTGGTCTTCAGCATCTCCGCCTCCGAAAGAGAAAATCGAAGTCTCCTCCAAAAAGAAATAAAAATAATAATAATAATAATAATAACAAGATTTCCACTATCTGGAAAAAACTATTGCAAAATCTAATTCCAAACCATCAGGCTCTGCGCTCTTTCTTCGTGTCCTGTAAATCCAAAACATCAACCCAAAAAATAACACACTAGTACGATAATGAGACTTAGTTCAACGATGCGTTTAGTTTCAATACCAGAACTGAAATCGCAATTCGCACTCGCATACTTCCGTTCACCTCCTCCTATTTCTAAGCATCAAAACTCCAAATTCAACACTCTCTCCTTTCAAATTAAAACTCCAAATACACCTCTTAATCCACTCATCTACCAACATTTGCATTAATTACCGAGTATCAAGATATGTCTACACAATTGTGCGTGTATATACTCAATCAATAACATATAAACATGGAAGTGACCTTCAATATAGCGTGCTCAGCCCCGTCCTTGACGGCAGGGTATCGCCGGCGAGCTTCGGCGCAGAGGGCACGGAGATCTGATTCCAAGACCGCCATGAAAGCCATCGGAGGCAAGCGTTCATGAAATGTCTGGTTTGGATATAGGTCTTCCTTAGAGTTCGGAGAAAGTGGCTATGGAATCAACAGAAGCAAAACTCATAGAAAGAAACCATGGAGATCGAATCGCTCGATCAGAGAGCGCGGGTGTGGAAGTGGCAGTAGATCTTGTGCGCGAGCAGGACGAAGGATCCGTTGTGAAGAAGTGTTGCCTTTCGCACGTGCCGGTGACACAAGAGCTGCCTCGTTGGTGAGACTTTGATTTTGGGCCTTGGGCCTCGGTAAACTAAGGATACGGACTAGGCAAGAATGTCACTCGGCCTTATAGACAAACGACATTTAAACCCTTGAGCGACTATTGGTCATTAAAAAGTATTTTTTGTCTAAAATTTTCAGTTCTTCTCGTGCTTACTAAAACAATTTTCTTTATTTCTCAAATTTTTAATTTAATAAAAATTTAAGGATGATATATAGTGATAAATTGTGTTGTTATTGCTTAGAAAAATTATTTAAATTTATAGCATTCATAATTTGGGTTCGAATCGGGATGACTGAGGAACGAATATATCGGTCATATTGCTCTGATTTTTCATATTGTCTCGGTTTCTAAAAAATAATAGTTTGAAAAGGCGATTGTATTATTCTTCAGTCTAGTGAGAAATCGATTTTCTAATTTATAAATAGTGTCTTGAACACTTAAATTTAGTGAATTATAGTAGCAAAATCTAAATTAAAGAATGCAATTAGCAAAATTAAAATTAAAATTAAATTTCTACGTCAAGACAAACTGAGCATACCACTATCTGATCTGCTAGGCAGATCGAAGGACCAATCATACCGTTCTTCAGTCTAGTGAGAAAATTGGTTATCTAATTCACAAATAATGTCTCGAACACTAAAATAGTATCATATAATCAACATTATAGTTCAAGTTCATCTTATGGAGAAAGTTGAATTTTTTAAATGAGACCGGTAAATATGAATATAGATAATATAGAAATTATAGTGTTTATGATATTAATGATGCGATAATATTATATCGGTTAATAAATTCATGGAATTATCATTGGCAAAATCTAAAATAAATTGAATTTTGCATCCTAATGATTTCTTTCGAATTGAGAAAACCAGGCGTACCGCAGTCCGATCTGCTAGGCGGATTAGAAAGACTGATTGTACCGTTCTTTCGGTGAGAAGATCGTCTTCTACTTTATAAATAGTGCCTGAAACACTAACAGTTATTGAATTTTGGTAATAAAATCTAAATTCAAGATTATTGAGTGGATTCAATTTTCATGAAAATAGGAGCTTCCCTTTCCAATCGAACAAACCGGAGGGAAAACCGGTCCTGTAACAACATCATTTTATTTGACATAATACGACTATAGTAATTGTGTCACTATTACCTCAGTCAATTAAACTTGTGAAATTATGATTAGGAACTCCAATTTAAAATTCAATTTAAGAAATTATTATTAGCAAAACTACATTATAGTTCAAGTCCGTCTTATAGAGAAAGTTAGTTTTTTAAAAATGAAATTGGCATCTATAATTATAGATAATGTAGAAATTGTAGTGTTATAATAGTAACGATGTGATAATATTACCTCGGCCAACAAATCCATACAAATTCATGGAATTATCATTTGCAAAATCTAAAATAAAACATAACTTTCTATCCCAATGATTTCTTCCGTACCGAGAAAACTGGACGTACTGCAATCTAGTCGCTAGGCAGATTGGAAAGATCAATCATACATTTTCTCTAGTCCAGTGAGAAAATAAGTATTCTAATTCATAAATGGTGTCTCGAACACTCAAATTTATTGAATTATGATAACAAAATTTAAATTCAAAATCAACAATCGACAATCTATGTCTCCTATAAAGATGATAAAAAATATTACTATTGGAGAATGACAAAAAAAATTAGAAATAAATAAAATCACCATTAATTCAAATAATGAGCAAACCAACAATACCGTTCAAACTGTTTGGATTGGTTAAAAAATTTCAGACCACAATCAATCGTGTCAGTTTGCTCATTATTGTTCACTATCTTTGAAATTTTGAATTTTACAGATCGAGTACACATCAAAATGACATGAATCTTATTATTTTTTCAAATAAAACAATAAATAAGAAAACCCAATCTTTTAACAACTATTTAAAGCAAAAAGAATAGATTTTGAGACTAGTTTATCAATTTTAGAGATTGAATCTTCAAGCTTTAATGGTTTGACAATCTTGGGATTTGTCTCCCTATCATTGGAGACTACACCGGAGTGCGACTGAGAAGGACGCCAGACTTGATGAACGGCGGGGGGGGGCAAAAAAAGTGTGGAGGGAGGGTTTTTTTCTTTTATCAATTCTCTTTTTTCATTATTGTAATTTTATTTTCTTTATGACAAGGGGTATTTTGGACAAAAAAAGTGTGGAGGGAGGGTTTTTTTCTTTTATCAATTCTATTTTTTCATTATTGTAATTTTATTTTCTTTATGACAAGGGGTATTTTGGAGAAGGTAAAATTTTCATTGAAAGAGGAGGCTATCAATGCAAAACTTTTACATTGAACGCTAGTGATTCGAAACAATGTCTAGTATAAGGTTATTTTTTTAAAAGGTCCAATAAAATAGATGCTACTTTAAAGATAGTGAAGAAACTTAAGAACGACAATCAATTTGAACCAGAAGACTTAAAAACAACGGAGAAAGGGAAAGAAATAGACGACTGAAAAGATTAAAAGGTCCAATAAAATAGATGCTACTTTAAAGATAGTGAAGAAACTTAAGAACGACAATCAATTTGAACCAAAAGACTTAAAAACAACGGAGAAAGGGAAAGAAATAGACGACTGAAAAGATAACACATAAGAACGACAACGAATGATACGTCCCCAAAACAAAAAACGACAAATTACTAAAAAAGACTAAAAATTGAGAATGGCGTCAAATAAAAGACGCTCAAAAAAGAATAAGGACATTAAAATTTAAAAATATGCACGTTTAACAATCAATAGACTTAGGCCTCGTTCACTTCTCGGATTCGAGTTTTTAATTTGAGTTGAGATGTGACATTTTCTGAGAGCTTTTTACTTAACAGAAAAAGTTAAATATGACATTTTTTGAGAATTTTTTACTGTAGAAACATAAAACTAAAAACTCGAAACAATGAAATGAATGAGGCCTTAGGCACTAAGCACAAGAATCCACGTCAAAAACGACAACCAACGAGAATGAGAAAGAAACGACAAGAATGAGGAAATGAACTCCACATAGAAAACGACAGCAGATAAGTAAACAACAGCCACGTGACAATAAGCGACCTACAAAATAAAAACGACAATGAGAGTAACCTTAACAAAAAAAACGACAAGATTACAGCACATGAAAACTACAGCAAATGAAATTAGAATGAGGAATAAAAAATGACATGAAACTGAAAAGAACATACAAAGATTGAAACCACAATAAAAGTGAAAGATTACAAATACGAAGAACAAAATTATTAAGGGACAAATGAGGGAGAATCCACGTCCTGCTAATGCATAAAACAAAGGACCACATACTTTCGAAAACAAAATAATGACATTACATGCCTTTAGCATATCCAAAAGCAACTATAGTAGAACAGTGTTGAATAAATCCTTGAAATGAAATCCATCCATTCCATATTTGAGATAGGTTAAACTTAGTAGACATCAATCTGTCCACTTATTACTCGGAAGAAGGGGGAATTCTAATAGAATAGCCGAACGGCAAGTACAATTTCATGAGAAAAGACATAAAATTAGTAGGCACACGTCTCCATCGGGAATTACTCAATCAAAAGTCATGTTTTCTGCCTCATGCCTAATGGAATCAAAGAGTGAAGTAGAAAGGTAACGTTCTCCAGAACTGGGGAACACAACCTGCTCAATTTAATACACAACAAACAAATAAATGATGTGTAATCAACAAAGTTGAATAAAGTTTATATATGCATATTGACAAAGAGACATGAGTTTTTTATTAGAAAAAGTTCCGATGAATTCGACTTACAACAATGAGTTTTCCAGCATTTTCTGGCCGCTTTGCCAGCTTAATGGCAGCAGCAGCTGCAGCACCAGATGAAATCCCTACCTGCAAAAGACATGTTTTCGTAATCATAGATTCATAGCTTAGAAAATTTGTAACGCGTGCAAGAAAAAGAAATCTAGATAGAAGAAATGCAAGTCATTAATTCAACTTGACAAATCGTCGTAATTTTAGATGTCATACCAGCAGACCTTCTTTCAAGGCAATCAGCTTAGCCATTTCAATAGCTTCCTCGCTTGATATCTTAAAAGCCACAGAAACATTGCCAGTCATTAGAGGACTCGATTTCAATTAGCATCTTTCTGCAACTGAGCTCTAGATATTTTGATATGAACTTACTTGGAAAATTTCATCAAGCAGATTAACATCTAGAATACTAGGAATTATACCAGCACCAATTCCTTGGATCAGATGCTCCCCTTTTTTTAAAAAATTAAAAAACAACAACAACAAGTACATATCTCATATTATATTCAGTATGAACATGAAATGAAGCCACCCAAAAATTTCAATCCACCAAAATCACTCGATATATTGACAGATAAGTTACCAGGCAATCCCCCAGATAATACTGCACTTTCTACTGGCTCTACCCCATACACCTACATTTAAACATGAGAAACCAGATCATTATCATATTAACTTCTCTCTTTCTCGAGCTCCCTTCTTTTTTATTTTTTTTTTTTCCTATTTCTCTTGCACATGTATACTAAAAAATGTCGAACCTTGATCTGTGGATTTTGCTCCTTAAGGAATTTCCCTGCACCAGTTGCTGTACCCCCGGTCCCTATCCCCGAAACCAAGGCATCAACTCTGCCTCCTGAGTCTCTCCATATTTCCGGGCCAGTGGTTTCATAATGAATCTGCAAAAACAATGACGACAAACAATTCAAACTTGCGACGATTAGGCAACACCATGGACTGAGTTCATTGCATAGTACCAATGGATTGGCGGGGTTTTCGAATTGCTGAAGCATATATCCATTTGGTGTCTTGTTTAGAAGCTCCAAGGCCTTTTCAAGACCCCCTTTGAAGGCCTTGGCAGGTTCTGTGAGGTACACCTCAGCTCCGAAAGCTCGGAGCACAATTCTCCTTTCAACACTCATTGAAGCGGGTATGGCTAGTTTAAGCTTGTAACCTTTGAGTGCTGCTATGGATGCCAGCCCGATGCCGGTATTGCCACTTGTAGGCTCAATCAGGACAGTCTTTTAACCTCAAACCACCCGATCATCCAAGCAGTTAAAGCAAACATGTTAGTTCAAACAGTCCACAAACTTGATCTCAAATGTGAGTTGTGAGAATTGCCCTTGCACAATTAAACATGATATCAATGATATGGTCAGAAAGATTAAAAACAATTTTTAAGGATTTTGTGGGATTCATTAGGAGCTTTTTCATTACTAACCTTCCCCGGAGTGATGGGACCTTTATCCTCGGCATCCTTTATCATACTATATGCTATCCTGCAAATTGAGAATAACAGACCAAATGTGTATTTTAAAACGGCCCATAATTGCTAGAAGCCCTTATGTTGAGTAAAATCAAACGAGTATTCCAAAGAAATTGGAGGAAAATTTATGTGCCTGTCTTTGACACTAGAACAAGGTTCCATCATCTCTAGCTTGGCAGCAATCCGAGTGACACAACCATCTACAACATTGTTCAGATATACCGTTGGTGTGTTCCCAATCAACTACAGAAGGAAGAGAACAGACAATAAGCAAAAACTTGTACAAAGTTGAAGCAATTATTCTCTCTAGTCATAGTAAGTCCTCATAAAGTTAACTTCTAACTTGCCTCAGTGACATCTTTCTTTATTCCATTATTGCCCTCCATGCCGTCTCTTCAGAAAGCTGCAAAAATGGTAAAGGCAAGTGACAACAAAATCAAGTATCCACAAAAGTCAACGAACAACCAGATAAGTCCAGAAACGGCCAAGTGAAACAAACTGGGATGATACTAATGAACTTCCGAGATAAGTGCATAGGAAACAAACTGTTCGCTTCGTCAATCAAATTCGAGCGAGCCCAACTCGAGTGAAATTTTGGGCCTAATACTGCGTTCGGTAAGAAAAACTCGAATTCAAAATCGAATATGAATTCGAGTTTTCTCTCGTATGAATTCACTTTTTAACTTAAATTTTAAATTTAAAGGAGTGAAACGAACGGACCTAAACCACGTATGTTAACCTCAAGAGACCATAGTTAATTTTTGTTTAACATGCTGTATATCAAAGCAAGGGTTAGTCTTAAAAGCGGTCTTCTAATTTCACCCCAATCTTACTTGAGTAAACCTTCAAATTGTTTTAACCTTAACCTACCGACTCGTTTCAGTTTTAAACTTTTTGTTCAGTTCATGTTAAAAATAAGATGTAATATGTATAACGTTCCCTCAGTAGAGTGTTATTTTTTCGGCACTTTTAACGTCTACATTCCATGCACCCTTTGCAGATCGACTACAGAGAGCACTCAATACGACGAGCTTTCTCCAACCCGAATCAATTGACGATATTACTAATTATATGACTTCATACAACTTACCATATTGTACAACTTTATGAATAATTTATACCTTTATTAATTATTTATTTGAATGTAATTACCATATTTTGCACGGAGAAAAAAAGGCCGCAAAAATTTTACATTCCGCTAACCAATCTATTTCTAACTCAAGGACACATGCTAAATCCCACTAAGAGAGTGTTTGGTACGGGGAAATTTTTGAATAAGAATGAGAATCTTCTCAAATTCTTACGTTTAATACAAGAATTGCAATTTTTACATTATCGGGAATGTGAATTCCATGGGATTCACTTTCTTTTAAAATAGAGTAATATGAATACCACTATATATGATGTTATTCAATTCCCACGAATCTTAAAGACATGAGAAACCTGTTCAACAATGAGTAAATCACCCCAAACTCTTTAACAATCTAATACCCAGTTTTTATAAGAGATTTGTGCAAAAACGACCGATTTTAACATCCTCCAGCCTCTTACGCCACTTTCATCACGGATCACTTCTCTGCATCAAAAAGCACGCCTTGCTTGATTGTTGAAAGAGTGCAGTCAAGGCAGCTACATTTTGTTTTGTTTTGTTTTTTTTTTTAAATGATGAAAATTCACAAGCTTGGCTTTCCATTGATTTACTTTTTGTGGTCTTCTTCTTGGCTGACTCCGGAAGCATACAGCAGGGTCACACCGGTTTAAAATTCGATTCCAAGGGCTTCTCCTTATCCCCATCGTCAAAACTCCCCCATTTCCATTCGAGATTAGGCCAAAATTTGAACCCACCAATTAGTTACATCCTGTGGTTCTAAACAAATGAATTAATTAAACAATTCTTTTTAATCACATCAGCCAAATAGCATGTCTGATTGACACCAGCAACTAACATATCTGGAGGAGATTAGCCGACCATTTCCATTAAGAAGCACGCAGTCACTTTTCATCACTTTTCATCAATCTGCTTTTGTGGTGTAGAGTTATGACCGAAATAGTAGAGCGAAGCCAAGCAGATTAAGAAATCTGTAAGCACCAGACCCACCACATCAAACACAAACTTGGGAGCAAATAATCCCCATACCTGCAAGGTTGTTGTGAAGGTGGAGAAACAAGTTAATTGGCATGCACTATTGAGTAATGAAGAACTAAACATGCTAAAGAAGCGCCTTTACCATCAAATGCCGCCTATGAATTGCGACGCACACCATAGTGGCTGTTACCGTAGTGGCCATAATGAGCCCGTACAACAAATACACCTAAAATACCAAAGCTTGTATTTAGTCTTCAAAACTGATTAGGCAAAGCCAAGAGGTTGGATGATTGGAATTAACTGCTAATTTGCAAAGAAAAAGTGCAACTAAGTCAACGTAATTAGATGATAAACTTACCAGGGATAACTGTGTGAATATGACATGCTTTCGATATTCAGTCCGACAGCACGCAACAAGAAATGGAAGTCCAAATATCGGAAGGATGAGAGAGAGACCAAATGTATCAATGGTGAGAAGGATTGCTTGTCGAACTAGGACGAATTCATCAAACCTGGAAAGCATTTCTGGGGTTTTAAGTATCTATCTAGAGAGCTCAAAGAAAGTAACTCCTAATGGATAGAAGGAGATAACAAAGACCAAGTGACTGCATCACTTTGGGAGAGTCAATCATTAGTCAAATATAATTCTTTATGCCGTCTAATAGTACCAAAAGTTCTATGCTTCCACCTGTTACACCCATAGTTGGTTAACTAGCACATCCATGGATGTTGAGTTGGAAACTACGTATTTAGACACACCCATGACTCACCCGATAAAGGCTGCACCATATCGGAGGCCATCGAAAGCACACCTGATGCAAAGGTTTTCAAGAAAAAATCAGACATGAGAGAACCAAAGATCAAAAACATAAAAGCTGAATCATAAAAAGTTACAAGTCTAATATATATAAAAAAATATATTTATTAGCCAGAAACCAAAGATATTATCGAAACCAACACAGCCATTGGGAAGGACAGTGCAACAAATATGGAAACGTTTGGATAGAATAAACAACAAACCAGTGTCCAGTGCAGAAAAACAGACACACTCCTAAAATGCTCCACTGTGTTACAGTTAGCGGGTCGATTGTTGAGTTTCCAGTGCCTTTGTTGTTGGCATCGTGCTTAATATCGCCCAGCCTCATTATGCAATAACCTGCAAAAGTAGACTTAATAAAACCGATTTTCAAGGAAAAAAAGAGCTTGCGGTTCTGACTTCTGCCATTTAATGTGATAACCACGCCTATCATCCAGTGATGAATCTATGAAAGAAGAAACTATGGACCAAAAGTAATGAAAAAAGTGTACCTCCAATTATGGCTGCTACAGAAACCAAGGGCCCTTGTTTTCCCAATAGAATGATGATTGTTGAACTACATGAAGATAGCACGGCCACGGTTTTATCAACTAAAATTTTCTTCCAATCAAAAGATTTCTCTCTGTTGAAGAGCTGATGGAACATAAGTAACGATAATTGTGCAAATCCAATGGCATAAATTATCCGAGGAACCAAATTTCTTCCAATGCCTCCAAGTACCCAACCTGGACTTAATATGTTAATCTCGGAGACCCAGTGAAATGCTATGAGCATATAACTCAAAATAGATCCCATGGCGACATATTTACATAACCCCTCAGAACAGCCACTACTTATGGCCTTGTATAGGAAGATTGCCAGTAGCATCAAGAAAATCACGGGCACAATTTCAGTTATAAATGACAAAACGGGAAGGCCGTAGGTACTCCTGAGCATCCATGAAGGATAAAATTTCGAAAAATCAAAACCTGGAGTTTGCTTTGATAATCCAACTTCAATAGTAAGCCTGCAAATTGTAATTACAAGAAGGAAAACAATCACCTGCAAAGAACCAAAAATTAAAATCACAAGCACCTTCAATATTTCTTCCAGAATCCTCAAAGAAAGCGAAAGAGAATTACATGTTGGGAAACCTTTTAAGCTTACTAGAAAAAGAAATAACCACTCAAGTCTCGACATATACTTACTTCCAGTACCATCTTTTTCTTCTTCTTGATTGAATCTCGTAACTTAACAATTCCACTTGTGGCCAAAAGAAAGCTTGCTACTTTTCCTTCTTCCACTAATCAGAAAATTAACAATATCAGATTCCGCACCATCCACCACCCAAAAGAAACCCGTAAAAACAGAATAAAAAACAAAAGAATTTTACTGCAAACTAATATATTAAGCAAGTACGACACAGCCATCGCACAACTTATAAAGTATACGGAACTTACAAATATAACTATTTGAGAGGAAGCTGCACGCACGTATTGCCACTATAAAACAAGCCAAAAATAGCCCAAAGGAAATTCCTGAATCTCCCGATGCAGAAAAAGAAATGGCATTTTGCCTTTTCACCTTAGTAATAGCAAGAATATGGATGCATATTGACAGAAACATTATGCCAAAACCAATTGCCATCAACTTTAAATTAAATTCAGTCCACTTGGACCGTGCTAGCTCAGCAACACTTGCAAGGAAATTAGAATAAGCATCAATCTGCCTCTCAAGAGCAGGCAACACTGTATTGCAGCTTTCGTTTTTATAAGTGAAAAAGTTCTTTGTATGAGATACCCATTTCTCCGCTGCTTGAGCATAAAGGTCTGCTATATGGAACAAGTCTTCACTGGAAAATCCAATAACAGAAGAAGCAGAATAAACATCAATATATCTTTTCACCTGAAAAAAAGGGAAAAAAAAAAAAAAAAAGAATACATCAGGCGATGCTTTTCATTTGGGTACATACTCTTTAAAAATATGTCTTTTGTCTATTTGTAAATTAAACAAAGTTCTCTTACATATTTGCGTAATTATCCTTTTAACCTAGCAGTCTATAATAAAAAAGTGATACCTGCCAAGAATTCATGCAGAGTACATTAGCATAATTGAGCATCCATTCTTCTAATTTTGACTGGTTTTCGCAATTTTCTACTACTCCTTTAAAATTCAATGTTCCTGCACCTAAAGCATATAGCTCAGGATTCACATGCCCAATGCTGAAAAGAAATCAACAATGACACCCAAGCGTCCCAAGTGTTAGAAAAGCAAGAAAAAACTTAGAATTTTGGGCTAAAAATTACAAATTAACTAAACAATATAGAATGAGTATCAACAAATTTGAAGTGGTGGTTACAACACACCTTCCAAAAGGGAAAGGGATACCGAGCAGTGCTGAAATAGTAGCTGCAAAGTCAAGCTGCAAACATGACTAAACTAAGTGTGGATCGCACGGAAAAGTTCCAACATAATCAGAAGAAAGAGTCGCATATTTCATGAAAAAATTAATATCCCAACCTGCTGGATGGAGCTGATACGCAGATTCTTCTTATCCTGAAATTAGAACATTAAAACAAATTTATCCAAATCTCAAAAGAAAACAAACTCGAGTTCTGGCTCATGAAAACTAGTATCATTCATTGCATACATTTGAAAAGACAGTTTTCATTTCAAAAAAGACAGAAAGGATGAAAGGATGTGACTTTCTAGAGGCAAATCAGTTGACACTTTATTTACAGTCTATTTACTTAATTTGTCTGTAGTATAATAATATGACAGTTCCTTAAACCCTTGCAGCATCTCTCTTTAAGTTTTTTTGATTCCCTACAAGTATTTCTCCTCTTCTCTTCCCGATTTTCAGTGTATATTTCACTTTGTTTCCTCTTTTTAACCCCCTCAGATGGAAGGGTGATAAAAAAAAAATTAAATAATAATAATAATAATAATAGTAGTAGTAGTAATAATTAAAAAAATCAGTAGGTGTAGGAATAACATGAACAAGGGTAAAATATCCAGAATCAAGATGTCACTAGGAAATACCAAATCAGATTCACCAGATAATGTATTGTATTTGGATGGGATGGAAGATGGAGGCTGCTTAAAGCTCATGGCGAATATAGATGTTTCCACCTGCATGACGTAACTCGAGTTAGAAGTAATATATGTGATAAATAAAACCATACCACAAAGTAAATTAAAAGGGAAAATTCACCTCTTCGGGACCACCACCTCCATGATCTCCATTAATGGTCTGCCCGTGATCACCCATCACAAGTAGAAAAGTATTCTCATGTAACCCACCAGTTTCAGACTGACTCTTTAGCACTTCAATTACTTTCTGCAACGGACTAAATGGTCAGTTTGTTCACAAATAAGAGAACAAGAAAAGAGCATGCACAAGAGCATATCAACTTATTAGGGAGGTTAGTGGAAAAGCTTGCACGTTAACTCTATTGAAAAAAGTGTGACAAGCATGAAAAAGTATGGTATACAGAGGAAACCCCTCGTAATATATAAGGCAAGCGGTCCACATGGAAAGAGCAAAGATTGAAAGGGAGAGTTAATCAAAAGATTTCCTGTGTGTTTAAATTAACCACCTTTAATAGACTTTTTTTTTTCCTAAAAGAAGTTTGACAAAGAAAGAGGGAGAAACTGAAAGATGCATCACAAAAGAGGAACGACAAGAATGATTCAAGAAACTTGCCTGTAAAACGACATTGTATTGCTCCAGTTTTTCTAGCATTTGAACAGAGTCAACGCCAAAAATATGTCCAGCATGATCCTAAGACACATATAAATAGAAAAAAGAAGTTAAAATTCTTGAATAGCATGTCCAGATACACACTGATGAATAAAGTTTTTTTTTTTCCAACCCTTTTTCCTCAAGCAAAGCAATTAGTAACTTGATCCAGGTCCTAAGGAAATAGCAAGCCGCATGCTTCCAAAAACAATAATTTCTGGTTCTTCCCTAAGATGAGATATTCCAACTTTTTTAACTCAAGAACACCAAAGTAAATTCAACTTTAAAGCAAAGAAGATATCCGTACCACACCAAGGAAATGTGCAATAAGAACATCCCAATCTTCTTGATACAAGGATGGAATAAGATGGTCAATGCATCCATTGTCTACCTAGAAGATCAATGAAAATTAGACTCTTGGGATAAGTATAATTGTTTAGAACTACCTATTGGGGAAAATAACTTAAAGTCTGAGCTTACATTAAATCATACCGTATCAAGATCTTTAACATTAAAAGAGGGGAAAGGATAAGATCTTTCAAAATGATGAGGAAACAACTGCATCCATGTGTCATCCCCCATCATCACAACTCGTTTTCCATTTTGAACTAACTGCAAGAAGGTCCAAATTCGGTGTATATCACTACAAGAAACTAAAAATCTTGTAATCGGGGACAAAAAAAAGGTAATCATCACCATATAAAAGAAGAAGAACTCGAGCAAATATATAGACATAAAAGAGTAAAAAACCAACCTGATGTAACAAGTTATCTTCAGTAATTGCAGGAGCTCCAAAGCTATTCCCAACATCAATAAAAGTGGGTAATCCACCAGTTGTTATGCCCTGAAAACCTTAAAAAGAGAAGAAAATATCAAGTTAAAAGGCTGACCTAACAAAAGAAAATTGGTCTAACTTCAAAAATTTTGACTTGGAAAAAAAAGCAGGGAAAAAAAAATGATTTTCAGATGGCATGTATAGATGCTATGGCTCAAAATCTCAAAAGCCAAAACTTCAATCATTAAAGTGGAATATGTAGGAATATTAGTCAGCATTATATTGAGTTTCAGATTATGAATATAATTTATTTTATAAATGTGGAAATCCGTGATTTACAACCTGATTTCTAGGAATTAGTTGTAATCTGATTTCTAGAGACTAATTGTTAATAATTAGCTTAATTTGTTACCTAGAATAAAGGGATACTGGTTTTATATGACCAATTTCCTGTTTTTATGTTTTTTCCTATTTTAGTTGCTTATTCTCAGGAAGTGATCCTTTCCTTCCTTGCTATTTAACTCAATACAATTCGAGTGTTACTCTCACTTGCATCAAACCTAGACTGGCCACTATATCAGTTGGATGTGAAAAATGCATTTCTCAATGGGAATTTAGAAGAAGTCTACATTGAGATACCATCTGGATTTGACACACTAGCCACTACCAACAAGGTATGCAAACTCAAGAAGTCTTTGTATGGACTCAAGCAGTCACCAAGAGCTTGGTTTGACAGGTTCACTAGGGCTGTCAAGAAGTTTGGGTATGGTCAATGAGACAGACCACACCATGTTTGTCAAACACTCATCTTCGGGTAAAAAGGCAATACTCATCGTGTATGTTAACGACATCATCCTAACTGGAGATCATGATGAAGAGACACTCAAGCTCAAAAGTTTTCTAGCTAAAGAATTTGAGATCAAAGACTTGGGCAATCTCAAGTACTTCCATATGGAAGTAGCATGGTCAAAAAGAGGCATTTCAGTTTCACAGCGGAAGTATGTGTTAGACCTCTTGAAAGAGATAGGGATGCTCGAATGCAAGCCAGCTGACACTCCTATGGCCTCCAACTCAAAACTAGAAAGTAAATATGATAGTGCACCAGTTGACAAAGGAAGATACCAAAGATTGGTTAGGAAACTTATTTATCTC